GAAAATCGTTATCCAGAAAAGTTTATTGATAAGAATATGAATCTAAAATCAAGGCAGCCCAAGGTACCAACAGTTCCGAAAAAGTAAGGCCTTATTCTTACAAATGCAGTTCCTTGGGGACAACATCAGCGAGATACTAAAACAGAGCCTCAGAAATGCGGTAAAAAGAGCATTCCCTGCTGCCGAATTACGCTGTCTTCAAAACCACCGACCCCTATTTTGCGTTCAGGAGTAAAAGACAAACTGCCTAATTTCGCCTCTTCCATGTGTATCTACCAATTGAAGTGCTCCTGTGGAGCCAGTTACATAGGCCGTAGAATTAGGCGTGTTTCTCGTCAAATTTCCGAACATCACCCTGTGTGGTTAAGTAAAGGACAAACAAAATCTATTCGCAGCGCTATTCTATCTCATCTTGCGGATACAGAACACAAGATTGATGTCAACGATGCTTTCAGAGTCATTTACCATATACCAACGAATCTCAATTTCGCCTTAAGAGTTCGACTACTAAATATTACTGAGGCTGTTGGGATCCATAATTAAGAAGCCTAATTTGTGCATCCAAAAGAAGTTAGTTCAGACATTATCCTTACCCGCTTAGCCATCTAGGTTTCAATGATCCTGAATTTTTGTGGAATTTTCCTAATTTTAGTTGATATTCTATTTGCTACTATATCTTTATTATTATTATAATTTAAGCATCTTTAATGAACTATAATTCCATTGATCTTACTCTACAAATCGATATTATTTATGAATATATATATATATATATATATATATATAATTGTAGAGCTAGAAGAGGAAATTATCGAAAAAGATATTCTTTGCTCAATTATTTTGTGTTTTATAAATGTAATCTTGTCGAACTCTGAACATCCTCTCTCAACACACAACTCTCCCATCTTGCATCTTATCAGGTAGGGGAAATGGAGGCAATTATAAAAGACTTTATGCTTGGATAATTAAAAAATGCAACAATACCTTATTTGACTGGGACACATTTTATATGATGAGAAAAGTGCTATGCATATTAAACTGCTAGCTTATTACTCAGAAAAAAAAACACTACACAAACGGCGCTTTGTATTCTTTCCATCATTACCATATCGTTGTCACTGTTTCATGTGGAACAAAACGGCTTCATTCAAGCTTGAGCTTTGAAGACTCAGTAGCAGTGGTTTTTTTTTTAAGAGGTTGGGTAACTAGCCTTACTAGCGATACCTTCCTTATCTTCGTTGGGCTTACTATCAGCGGCTAGGGGAGGTAAGGCTGTACGCAAACTACGACTCGAATCGCAGATCACATGCATGCTCGGCGAGCGTCCTACCGTTGAGCCCGACGACGTATGCATAAGTTTACATTCATACTTTTACTGAACTTGTATCAAATATACAAAGTTTGAAGTATAGTCATAATGCGAATTTGTAGTTTACACAGTTTCCTTTGGAAACCAGATAAAAATATGCGGTCCGATTTTGATATATGAATGGTAATCATAAAGGAGTCATTTTTTGTACAAAACTATATACTACTGATTGATTAGGGTGAGTAGTTGTATACCACCCACATACACACCAACCAGTAGTGATTGCTTGCCGTTTCGTCCATCTGGCACCGAACTCATCAGCGGTGTACCCCGGGTTCACTCAATTCACACAGTCGAATCCATTCAAACCACCCGATTTCTGGCTGGCTGGCTAGCTATTTGAGCGAGCTGGTGGGGATAACAGCTGAAAATCAAGTTTGTAATTTACACAGCTCGACGATGGGAGTGTTAGGGTGAAATCTCAGTGCAGTTTCCTTTGGTTTGAACTGATTTGGCTCTCTCTCTCTCTGTGTTGGTTGAGCTGAGTAAAACCGGGGTAGATTGGTGATAAGCTCCCCCCGCCCCCCAAATTAGCGAAACGACTGTTCGGTGTTCAGATCACTTCGATCTGCCTAGCCAAGCAACCAAACACTACTACTCGTTGATGTGCAATATACTTATCTCAGCCAATCAGTAGTATACAGTTTTTATAATCTATGGACTACATCGACGCCTAGTTTAAAAGATAGGGAACGAAGTGGTAGAGCGCATGTTGACCACTTCACTTAATGTTTGGAAGTCACATCAGCTTCAACCGGCTGATCCCTGACAAAATCTCACCACAGATACAGAAGACGTCTTGTCTGGCGTAGACGGGATATCCGACTGGCCATTGATCAAGCAACGTGTGTACTGCACAGCAACAGTTCTCTTCATCCTCCTTAATGGCTGTGAGTGAGACACGGTCATTGAAAGTAGAAGACATGAGGAGCTTGGCTAGTTGTCTTTGATCATAAGTGTCAGCCGCGTTAAGTGGTAATAATAAGGTGAGTAATATTGATATGGTTAGGCTTCGGTCGAGTGTTAGGTGGTAACGAGGAGAAATCAATCGACGAGGTTGTGAAGCAGTTACATCGATTGAGATGGTTAGGACATGTATTACTCATGCATCCCTAGCCATCGATCATCTTCCTTGACGGTGGTCAATGTTAGCTGACATTGGATCAGGTTGTAGAATAGCTAGTGGTAATCAAACGAAAACGTGGCAATCAGTCAACGAAATTCTTAACCGTTAGTTTAAGCCAGTCACAGCCACGTAGGGAGAGGTGTTGACTGCTGTGTGTGTGGTAGGGGTCCTCGGGATGTCAAAAAAACCAATGAAAGCTGCAGACAATTGGTGATATGGCTCGAAATCATTGTCAATCATTGTTCAGATGCATTCAATCTTTGCGATTTATCATATCCAATAAAACTCTATTATTGTTCTTCCATATTACTTACTATTCTTTTTGCCTCACTCACACTTCTCTTTATTATCTCTGCTTTAAATCTCTCTCTCTATGCTCTTTCTTTGTGTGATAAATGCAGGGAGAGTGGCAAGTTGAACTGGTGCACATCTTTACAGGGTTCTCTATATTGGAACCAGTCAGTCAGTCAGCGAGTCACTTATTATTTTAAATATTCCCATAGTAAAATTTAGAACAACACATTTAAGCGAACAATATTGTTTTCAATTAGATCTCATCAGGCTTAACTCTAATTGTTCCACAATACACTTTCTGATATGATTCTAATTTGCCTTTACTGGCTATTGTATGCTTAAATTAATGGATTTATAATTGTAGAGCCTGAAGAAGAATTTATTGAAAACAATTGTTCGCTCTAAATATTTTGTTCTGAATTAATTATGGGAATATTCAATTTAATATATATAAGTTTACAAATAAAAATTCAAATATAAACCAATCATGGCGTTTTGTCTATAGGATAATACGATGATGAATATAAATTGTGCAATTAGTCATAACAGTAGTAATGATAATAATAATAATAATAATAGTAATAGTAATAATAAAAGTGGTCTTATCAATAATAAGGATGAAAAAGTGAGGCAATCTGTGATAACACGAATAATGAAAAACAGCATGATTAAACAAACAACTGTTCAGGTGGAAGTAGTCGATAAAGGCTAGTAAAAACAAATGAACCGATTAAGTAATGTTAGATTGTAAGGGAAGGAAATGAAACACGTTTATAATGAAGATAAGATTAAGGGATGATAAGAAAGGGGTTGAAAATATAAACAAAGGGTGGTGTAGAAGTCATCAGTTGGTTATGTCTTAATAGGCCAAGGGAGGGATAATGGCTGTACGAACTTTTTTTGAATACATAGTTTAGGTTTAATAGTTCGAATGCCTATCGCCTCAGCTGTGTGTAGTAGACGAATACGAAGTCTGTTGGAAAGATTCGGTGGGATACGATGAATCACTTTGAAGGCTCTCGTTTTCTCGATTACATGACCACTATCAATTAAGTGTGACAAAATTGAGCTACGAACTGTTTTAGTCTGTCCTTTGCCAAACCACGATGGGAGATGCTCACTAACACGTTGGCTAAGCTGTCTAGTAGTACGCCCGCAGGTGCAGTTGAATTGATAAACGCACATAGATGTGGCAAAACTATCAAGCTTAATTAATCATGCTGTTTTTCATTATTCGTGTTATCACAGATTGCCTCACTTTTTCATCCTTATTATTGATAAGACCACTTTTATTATTACTATTACTATTATTATTATTATTATCATTACTACTATTATGACTAATTGCACAATTTATATTCACCATCGTATTATCCTATAGACAAAACACCATGATTGGTTTATATTTGAATTTTTATTTGTAAACTTATATATATATATATATATATATATATATATATATTAGAGTTAAGCCTGATGAGATCTAATTGAAAACAATATTGTTCGCTTAAATGTGTTGTTCTAAATTATTATTATTACTAAATTAAGGCAAGCGATATTTTTCTCAAAGATAAACACAGTTAGCATGTGATCGACATGTGTTTATAGTAATATAATAACATTTTATAAAAATAAGTTTAGCTAGATAGTTACTATCATCTACTTAGGCGACTGCTACGATTATCGATCGATAAGTGAAGATGAATTTACTCAAATCAATTTAAATATCATGTTGAAATCAACAACTAAAAAAAAAGAAAGAAAAAAAAACAACTCAGCAAACCACTTACAAAAGTTATTATTATCATCATTTTATTATTTACAGGGAGACAGAGAGATGCACATGAATGAATGAACGATAACGATGTAGGCAGAAGTCGATGAAAAAAAATCAATCAATCAATCGATCAATCTGACTATCAATATTGATCAATCAATCATTCATTTATTCATATAAATCGAAATCAATACGTGTAATACTATAGAATTGTCCTTCTGGTTTTGTTGATTCACGTATTAATATATTTTCATCATCTTTGAATTTGCCATCTTGTAGCCATGTCTTTAATTGTTCTGATGTATACGGACCTTCAATCTCTGTATTTGGTTTGTTTGAACGCTTTAAATGCCACATAATTGGTGGCTTGTCGTTATTACTGTCATTATTACTATTATTGTTATCATTATTGTTGCCATTTTCGCCAGTCACCTTTACACCATCTAGAATGTAAATAAAATGAAATGAATATGCTTTAGTGATTCACATTCTCGTTGAACACAAATAAAAATCAATACATATAACATAACTGATATCAATCTGTGATTAAGCCTGAAAAATAAATCAACCCCCCCACCCCCCCACAAACTACCTCTTGAAAATTATTCTCATGCTTTCTAGTGAGTGAATTGCCTGGAGTTCTAGTGTCTATCTGTCTGTCTGTTTTCGACATAGACTACTTTGCACCGATGTGCGGCAGTTCAAGTCGCCACACTCCATGTAGCACACAAAGGAAGAGAAGAAAGTAGGAGAAATGCATATTAGAGACAGTAAACAGAGGTGTGAGACAAAGGAGTAGTAATAACGAAGAACAAAACAGTTTCATTGGAAATCATAAGTCACAAGGAGTGGATGCATCTCCACCGGCCATTGAGAACGATTTTGAACCATATCACCAATTGTTTCCAGCTTTCATTGGTTTTTACCGTCCCGAGCAGTACACCCGCCCTTTGGTCGATAGTCGGATATCACGTCTACACCAGAGACGGCGTAAACTGGCATATGAGAAACTAGCCTTCTGTATCCGTGCTGAGATTTCGTCAGAGATCAACCCGTTGACACTGGCTGATGGTACTTCCCAAGTAAGTGAAGTGGTCAACGTGCTCTACCACTTCACTCCCTATTTCTAAACTAGGATTCAGTGTAGTCCAGCAGTCCTGTAACATCATCTTACATTTGGCGGGAGCGAATCGCATGCCAAACATTCGTAGATCGCTGCTCCTCAAGGTGTTCAGAAGACTCTGCATTTTGTCAGCGTCCTCGCCTAGAAGGACTATATCGTCTGCCTATTCTAAGTCAACGAGACTATTATTCCCTGGTAGCAAGTCAATCCCTGAGTCTCTGAAGTGAGTTAGGGTTAAGTCCATTAGTACATCTATGAGTTCTAGTGACCAGGGGGGTTACACCAAATACTCGCTAGCAATGATGACATTGGCTGATGCTAGTCGCGCTAAAAATCACGAATCGGTGTAGAAGTTAGAATTCATAGGTAATGGCCTATTGAGTCGGGGGTCCAAGTGGCTGAATGGTCTACGAGATAGTTTGCTATGTAACCAGAAGGCCCTGGGTTCGAATCCTGGTGATGAGTTTCAAACTAGGACGAAACAGCTTTCCAGTACTCCTTGCTAGTTTTTTTTTCAATGGTTCTCTAAACTGATATCAATCTGTGGTCAAACTTGATGAACAATTCAAATCGCTAAACACTAAGTGTTGTTAACAGAGAAGAGTTGTAGCTCAGATGGATGATTTTGATGTGATTGCATTCTCTGAGTTGGATGGTGTATAGTTGTCTTCCTAGACAACATCGTCTTCAGTACAAACTTCAATATGAAGTGTAAACTTATTTGAGCTGTTCATGAATAATGGCATAATTCTGTCTCCTGACAATCGCTGACATGATTGGTTGTTAATATACATTCACAATTTGCTAACTCTTGCATCTTACCTATTGTTCCTTGTTGCTCCCCACCCCACCCCAACCCCAACTTAGTCTTTCCTGGGCTACTACTCAAAAAGGACTATGTGATATTGTGAAGGGTATTATTAAAGGTTGTCCGTAGGGCGAGTGGTGTGCCACTAAGTCAACTCGTTACTGTTATAGCCGACAAACACCTGAACTCGTGTGATAAATGGTCTAACTCCATATTGTCTGACTTTAAACACCTCACCCTCTCTATTCACAACTCTCCCTTTGCCCTTGCATCTCATCAGGTAGGACTAGAAGAAGTCATTACAAGAGATTGTATGCTGGCTTGCACAACCAAGTACAAAAAATCAACGATACTCTTTATTTGGACCTTCCTTGTCCTATGTGTTAGAGATGGTGTTAAGCGTGAAATTTATGACTTACTATGCTATAAGCAAAAAATAATTAACTCTTTTATTATCCTCGCCTATTTGTAATCTATGGTGATCTGTTGCAGGCTTGACTGATAGAATTCAGTCTGCACCAAAGATAGGACTAGACACACACATTACACTAGTTACTGACTAATGTCCAATCAAAAATATCCAATACAGTCCTACAGGAGGTCAACCGCGAGCTCGAATAGCTCAGTGGTAACATCTCTGACTGCAACACTGGCTGGTGACGCGGGTTCGAATCTCAAAAGGGAGGTTGCAGTTACGCCTTGCTGAAGACTGCCAACTAACACGAGACCTAGGTCGAGCGACGCTCCCTGCCAATTGCCCCCAACCATCTAATACCTACAATTCACAGTACACCGTAAAGGCGAGCCACCTAGTGGCATGGTGGCCACATTGCAAGCTTGACTGATAAAATTCAGCCTGCACCAAAGATAGGACTAGACACACACACATTACATTAGTTACTGACTAGTGTCCAATCAAAAATAATTATCTCATTACTTAACACTTTTCGTAAATTTTTGACTTAATCGTCACTGTTAAGACCAAAAAGCTGCTATTATCAATTCTGGGAACGCATACCCTGTAATATTATTATTTTTTGGTTGTGTTTTTGCTGTTGTCGAGTAAACTATATGCAGTATTGTATCACATGCTGAGAATTCCACACTGTGTAATGAGTACTGTTGTTAGAATGAAGCAAATTGTTGTCACTATTATTATTGATCATTTTATTAACTTGGAATTTGACTTCTCTTAGTCATATGGTTCATTCCTTATTAGAGGTTTGATCACAAATTCATATCAGTTAGAGAAGCATTGCCAACTACCAGGCCGCACTATTGGACGGCTGTTTCATCCTGGTATGACACTCTTCACCGCACGCACCCATCACAGGAGATTCGAACCGAGGACCTTCTAGTTGCATGGTGCGCTTGTATACCATTCAGCCATTGGGACACCACCCAATATGTGTATACATATAAGTAGTGCAACCGCCAGCCAATGTCACATTATATTATTATTTATTTAAACGCAGAAAAAACTTGGTACAATATAGCACCAAGAAAGATGCGCCACACAATAATAATAAAACAACATAGATTAAAAGTAAAAATATAAGTAGAAAACGGATACAGAACTTCATCTGGAAGGAAAACAGTCATGTTTAACAAGTTCAAACAGTTTTTGTTAACTATCATCAGGAAGGGAAGAAAGAAGGAAATTGCAACACGTTCGCCGTTGATTACGATTCTTGGCCATATCCGATAACGTTTCGAGCCACCGATTCTAGCTATCTCGCGGACCCCAACCAGGGAGTCATGACACACCAACCGATGCTAACCTAGCACAAATATTCTTCATCCCACGACGCCACGTCATGGACTGACCACCCCTCCGCCTTTTCCATCCCGTCCCAGGGCTAGCGAACAGAGACCCGTACGTAAGCCTCTGGGATGACATTCGCAGCACATGTCCAAGCCACCGGAGCCGGTGTTTCCAGATGACGACACTCAATGAATGGCGATCTCCACTGTGTTCAAACACACGCCGCCGAACCTCAGAATTACTCACGCGATGATGCCATCGAACGCAAGCAATCCTGCGGAGACAGCGATGATCGAACACGCAGAGTCGCCGCACATCCTCAGCTCGGAGAGGTCAGGTTTCACAGGCGTAGAGCAAGACAGCCCGCACCGAAGCATTGTATACCCGACCTTTGACAGCCAGGCTAACGTCGCGATGGCGCCAGAGGTGGCCTTCATTATACGGTTGGAAATCTCATCCGTCACCCCTCCGCTAGCACTCACACAACTACCCAGATACACAAACTTATCAATAACTTCAAGCGGTTCACCCGCAAGAATGAGTGCAGGTGAATAACAGGTGAGTAACTAATCTCCTACCTGAATTGGCAGACGACTTCTCGCCTGTAACCAATCAAATCCCCGAAAGCCAACACTGCTCTTTACTAAGGTGATCAATTCGACCTATAATAAAGTGTCGCTTTTAATCACTGACTTGCCTGAATTTTCGATATTTTCATTGTGTTAAAAAATGTCTACATTTTCCTATTCAAATCAGTGTGCATATTTGTCTCTACCTACATACATCGATATGAAGCAGGAATATATTTCGTGTCTTTTCACAGCTAGTTTGCAATCTTGCAACAAACTCGAATTCTAAAGCGATAACAACGATCAGTATGGATACTAATTAACAAGTGATCAAGACAAAAGGCAAAAATAGGGATTGCACATACTTCTTTTGTACACAAAGGTCTGGTTGGCTTAAATTCATGAATGACTAGCCAAGGTCTCCACTGTCTTTACAAGTTTAAAACGAAGGGAACGTGGCAAGTTAGCATGGATTCGATAGATGATCTGAAAATCATGGTCAGGATTGGTTGAGTGACAGGACTATATCAGGTGTTCTAACACACTTCCTTTCTTGCTTGTAAAACCATACTGGATTGTGTTCTCGTATCCATCTGTGAAAAGCGTTCTCTGGCTACGGTCAATACACTTCGCTCCACAAGAGCAGATGTACATGGAGGCGGCCAGACGAAGGAGCTTATATTTTACAGAGGTGGAGAACAACTAGCGGCTGATGAACGTCATTTGTAATTTTGCAGCAAAGAAAGTTCTACTGACTCATCTAGAGAGACGGTTTTTGAGTATATCTAAAGCTTGAGCACCTTTGAATTCTAAGTTCATAACTACGGTTTTCTTTGGAACTGAGTTGGTGACCAGTTCGTGTTTCTGTCAATAAATCGGTTCGAGTAACCATTTTCTGTCAGCGTGGCTTTTAGGAAGGAAAGGTCTGAGCCAACGCAACCAAAACTGAAAATGTTTCTTATCCCAAAGCAGGATCTAGATCTCGTGGTTCTAGGCACTCGTCATCAAGGAGTATCTGCAACATTCAGGGAACTCATGACACGGTTTCGAATCTCGTAAAGGACATGAGTTCCCTGAAGGTTGCAGATACGCCTTGCTGACTAATGAGTGCTAACAAGCACGACACCTAGGTCAAGTAAGGCTACCCTACCGATTGCCTCCAACCATTTAATAAAGACTCTAATCCCTAGTCTCTTAATTTTCTAGTCTGTTATGAACATAAATGTTATGAAAATTTCTTTTGAAATGCAACAAACCTTCGTTGTCGTTATTTTATTATTATTACTACTTTGTTTCTCATCCAGCTCTTGACCAAGAACATCAAGTTCATCATCTGCTTCAAATTGTTTTGTACATTCTATAAGCTTGTGAATATCTTCATAAGTCTTTTGATAGACATCAAAATCACCGGCTTGAACAAGTTGATCAGCTAATTCAGTGACACGGATCAAACCTTCTGGATTGCCACTACAAAACATGCAAAAAGAAATATATATATTTAAATGTATTCAGACAATTATGTAATCACACAGAGATATTTGTACATCTCATAATAAAATATTTACGGATACATTTCAACAGGAAGAAATGAACCAACCTACGTTGTACAACTCTAAAGGATGCTAAATGAACGATGCAGTTAGTACTTTTACCAACTCACGTCATCTCTAGCGTACATGTGATGTCAAACTATCGACATAAGTACTGTGCAGCAATTCGTCTTGTCCTCCTTTATGACTGTGAGACATGACCACTGAGAGTGGAAGATCTCACCCACAGATGACTGCGTTTTATCTCCTGTGTTAAATGGTATAATATGTTGAGCAATATTGAGATTAGGTGGGGAATTTTGAGTAAGGAGGGAAAGTCAATAGAACAGGTTGTGAAGCTAGGACATGTGGTGCACCAGTGCCTTCCTCCACAACAGGCAATGCCAGCTGAAATAGGATGAATAATGTCGGAAAACAGCTAGTGGTGGTCAAACCAAAACATTGAATTAGTTCATGAAATCTTTCACAGTTAGTTTGAGCCATGTAGAGAGGTGTAGACTCCTTGGTTGGGTTTCTCACGATGCTAATAACCAATGAAGGCTGGAGAGACAATTGGTGATATGGCTCAAAATCGTTCTCAATGGCGAAGATGTAATCACTCTCTGTCATATCCCATATCCCTTAAACCTTGATGTTTTTTTCCATGTTATTATTCTTCATCCCTCACATTTCTACTTATTATTGTTCTTTTGAATACCTTTTCTCTCTCTTCTGTCCTCCTTTATGTGCTACATGGAGTGCACTTTTGTGCAAAGTTCTATGATGAAGCCAGTCGTTTAGTCCAGAAGATTTTTGAGAGTGGTACTAATAATGAGTTACTGACTAGATTAACTAAAGTGTCAGGTAATATTTGAAAGCAAGAGATAATCCCATCAATGCCATGATGGTGAGTGGAAAACGAAAACACATTCCGATGTTTCCATAATATAGGCAGTGTCATTTCAACTACAGCCGACAACACAGATGATGATGTAAAAACCAGAATCGGAAAGTCAAGACAGACCTCCATCCTTCTGAAGTTACTTTGGAAATCTTTTGCACTCCACCAGAGCAAAGACAACAAAATTCAGATTTTCAACACCAATGTTAAGTTAGTCAGTTAGTTCTTCTATATATGGGTTAGAAACTTGGCCAGCGCGTCAGAGAAAGCGTCTCCAACAGCCAGCTGAAGATTTTTATCAACACCTGCCTTCTTTGACTCCATTCTTAAGGTCAACTGACCAGAAAGGATTAGCAACAAGAAACTCTGGTAGGCAGTGAACCAATCAGAAACCGACTGCTTAACAAATATTTCGAAAAAAATGGAGACGGGTCGCGCACACGTTGAGGAGACCGTCGGATGGCATAGCACACCAGGTCAACGCTCGAGTGGAACCCGAATGGAAAATGACGAGTTGGGCGTTGGAGGAGATCGTTTGAAAAGGAGGAGAGAAAAGCTTATGGGCTATCGTGGAGCTAGCTGAAGACCACTGTAGGGAACAGCCGTATATCCCACTCGGAACTCGAGGAAATAACGATAATATAATAATTACATAACATAAAGGCCTCATTAACTAGGCGTACTATGATTACCAATGCTGTTGATGAGAATTACGTAATGCCTATCCAAAGTGAAGACCGACAAATAAAGCAGATATTTCAGTTTATAGGGTTTCGAACCTTAGTTCATTTTGATGACTCAAATATGTTCTAAATATGTTTATTGAACAACTACTCAACATGACTTGCTACACGGGAAAGAAGAGAAGATATTTATAAGAAACTAGTCCGGATTGCATAAGGAGTCGTGTACTACACAGTGGTACAAGTTAGAATAGAGTGAATCCACCTTTCAACATTTCATAGCTTTCAATTTTGTGTTAGATGTTCTTCCCTATCCTTATACCTCTAGTTTTCGTAACATTACAGGCATAATTACTTTTATTGCTTTGTTGATTGTTTCCCGTCTGATACAGTTTATAGCCCGACCGATAACTGCTACCTTGCCGTGGTGGTCGGGCTTGAATGCCGCAGTGACCCAACAAGCTAAACTGGCTGGGACTCATGTCCCTGCAGGTCCTACCATGTCAGGAAGGTTGTTTGGATAGTGGTTAGACTAAAAGCAATTATCATGGGGTACATGGGCTCCAGAATTCAATCGGATCAAATGGCGTATGAACCCATATGGGTCACCGGCAACCATGGGAACGCAGCTCCTGACGCTGCTCCGCTGCCTTGCGGATTAGACTCCAAGTCAAAGGCTCGGGGGGTGGTCCCTTAGGAAAACCACCTGCTTCGGTCTGGGCGCCCGGGCAGTATCTCAGCCCTCACACAATATTGTGTGGCGCATCTTTCTTGGTGTCATATTGTACCAAGTTTTTCTGCGTTTAAATAATACAGTTTATAGACTTGGGTTGATACACAATAACTCCATGCTCAATGTTATTTCCTTTCCCTTACAACTGTGTATACATATATATCACAAAATAAATCAAAACACTGGTACTTACTTACGATTGTCTGTTTTAGGTTTCTTTTTCTGTAACCAGCGTTCACTAGCTGAAGCAGACTTTTTAACATCTGAGCATGCACCCATACGTTTGATACTTCGCAAAACTGTCTCCGAAGGTTGTAAATAAGACAGAAGTTCTTGATACATTGAGAGTTTCTCCTCTTTACTTAACACTTTCTCATCTGGTTCATCGCTTATTGCCGTGTCTTTTAGTACATTTTTCTCTTGATTTTTTTTCACTTCTAACCAATTAATATCTTCCAACCAATTATCACGAGCATCAACTTCCTAGATGGATTAGAGCAAAATTATCCAAATTTCTTTAACTAACCTTTTTGAATATGAAAGTTCCAGCAGAATCAAAGTGTCCATCTTCTTCAAGTTCCTCCTTCATATTGAACGGAGTTATCTTGACTTCATCATCATATTCTAATGTTGAAGCTTCCTGACCTTTTACAAATATGACACATGAAATAACCAGGTACCATCTATGTCTGTTTCACGCAGTCGGAAACAATCTTTATCATCATAGTCTTCTTCATCACTATCCAAAGATGGTTTTGATAGTTTTTCAGGTTTGGATAACTCTTCACTTGTGACCTAATTCCCAGTGAGAAACTATAGAGATCTAACCTACCACACCTAAGCCAGAGCGTTTCGACATTTTGGTATATGAACTCAGTTAGCAGCTCTCGATTCCTACGAAGGTAATAAAAAAAGAAAATATTGTGAAATAGAAAGACCGACAAGTCAGTGAAAGGGAAAGTTCGTAAAAATGATACTTTGAAATTGATTTTGATACTTCTAAGGTTTGAAAGTAATTTGATTGATCGAATAATCAAACCATATACAATTATGCTCAACGTAATATTGTAGTGTGACGTACATAAGCTACTAAACATGCTCAAATCTTATAGTTTAAAATGTCAGACATACTTCATTGTTTACATAAAGCTATTAATTGTAAATTTAGGTCAAGTATCTACGGTAAAGATTGCCAAAATAGTTAGACGTAAAATGTATGATTAAAGACTAATACTGAGTGTTGTTTCTAATTCTCATTTTTCATACTTTAACTGTTGTTTTTCCATCTCCTTGCTCTTTTAAACTGTTTTGATGTAGTAGTTGATATAAGCATTTTGTTCAAAGTATCATACTTGCAACGGAAAGTGCATTCGGTTAGACAGTTTCACCCATATAGCACTAGCATTTCTATTCCGGAATATACTTGAACTTTTCTTCTTTCGATAATCGGTAAAGAGCGGAGAAATATTTCAGTGAGTTCATCAACAGAAAATTTTTTATACACTATTCGTGCTAAAACTAAATCTGAAGAGATTACTGTCATTTTCATCTGCTAAAATTACTAGTTAAGAGTATGCTCTGTTGAAAGATACTTTTACAGCAGACAGAAGTATGTGAATACATTAATGTAAAGCTTTGCACTGATGAATCAATTTATCTTGTTACACTTCAAGATACCACAAAATCCTAGGGGCAGATATACGATAACCGTATCTCAGGTAACATGACCACTACTTCCCATTTCCATGAATATAATTATTACACCTTTAGGACTGAACATCTGCATTCATAAAATATATTTCCATTTTTCAGTTATTTCAGTTTATAATGAGGCACTCAAATGTGTCTCATAGCTGCAAAATTTTGGTTGGATAAGTCGCCCATGGTGACGCAGACTTTATCTTCCCTGATCATCTTCTAAAAACCTATGAAATCTTCACTAACCATTTATTCATAGCCTCTGGCATCCATGCTTAATCGTTGTAGTATCACCATGTACATATTGTCTTTTAGAGCATGACAACTTTTGTGTTAATACCCTCATTGATTCCTCGGTTATTGTTAGTGAGAGGATTGACAGAGGAAAATTAGATCACATTTCGAAATCACATATTAGTGACAGGCAGATAGTGCGGTAGCAACAAGATATGCATCCTTGGTTGCATGCTGGTATGAGAAGGTATGCTAGTAGGTTCTGAACTAATGCGGGTAGTGAAAAAAAAGCATAAACTGCTTCGTCTTCATAATCTACTCTCCGTATAGAAAAATAAATTCAGAATTTGCGAGTATTACTTCAGCATTATTGTAGGCTTAGTGTATTCCAAAATAAAAAAGTAATCATCAGGTAGCATAGCCTCACAAAAACTTCAGCAGGCATTACCAGCAAGCTAACATGTTAATTGACATGTTTTCATACATCACTCGCACGTTGATTCAACTGAGTGGCACCTGATGATCATTTTTCTCTATTTTACCCAGGTAACAAATTTTAAGGGGCAGCGTCATGTCAAATGTTTGGAGAATTTCGGCATTTTCCCCCAAAAACTCCTAAATAACACCTGCAAAAGTTCCCTTAAAAATCGTCGAAATTTCTATTTCACTTTAAGCATAAATTTGAAAACATATTTCCGTAGTTAACATGGACAACACATATAAAACACACTATGTGGTTGAATGAGAAATTAAACTTAGAAATATTACAACCCAACAATCCAAAAAAGAATAACACACCTAGTACCGCAGAGCGTACCGCATACGCTTGTTTTATGCGCACTTTTCTGAAATACGTTGTCCCGCCAGTGGTTCAATATCCTAATTACCGTATTGTTTACTAATATTAACGTCAGAAAGTTAGCTACTGAAGAGTTAATAAATGGTGTATAAAGCGCGTCACAGATTTCAGTAACTTCGTTGAACAGCATTCAAAAGACAGAAGACTACAGACCCAATACTGACGTTCTTAAATCTGATTTGAAAAAAAGATCAGATTCTTACGGCAGACAGGGATATTGTAATAGTTCTAGGTGGGGTTGATATCACAATACTTCTGATCAAAGCACACAAAAATCATGCAGACTGCTAAAGATTTGAAATTACCCCTTTGTATGAGTTCAGGGAAGTTGTAGGCAGTGGTAGTCGCCATTTAATTCAGGCATCATATGCATTCCAGCGGATTCAGTGTCTCACATGTAATGGGATAGAATTTCGAGTCCTTTTGATAGCAATTTTTGAATACTAGGATGATTCAATTGTCAGCATTTTCCGAGAGGAAGCGTATTTGTTTGGAGGCGAGCACATGCGAAATATTTCACCGTTTTTATCCTTTCCATGTGACTGCACATCAAGGATAGATGATTGTGCAAGGAAAAATAGAACAGCATGTTGGCTGCACACCACTACAGTTTCTCATTATCTTATCGACCTAACTACACCCATAAATAGTCGGTGGGACAGTGGTTAGGACTCACGCCAACCATGCACATGGTCCGGGGCTAGATCCCCTGCCGACGCACACCTGATATCATTTGGTTGGCCTGCGAAATTTGGGCTACCGATATCACATGGTGAAAATTCCATACTTGTACCAAAAATACGGTGTGGAATCAAGCTGTCATCAAAAAATTTTTTAATGTTTCCTCCATGAGATGCGGATGTATCCAGAAAGTCGCTGACATCAGGTTTGTGCTGGTCAGCCCTATAAATCGGTTGTCTTTATAGTCAAGACGTAATTCCACCAAGTTATATAGCTATTTTACAAACGATAACTTTATTTCCAGTTCAACAAGTAAATGAGGCCGCAGTTATTCAAACAATGTAATCAGAATGTCATCGATAGTCATAACATCCCAGTGGCTGTGAAGCTGTTCACAACAGGTCGAATGAATTCGTCTTGGTAATTCACTCATCACATGTTGAGTTCACGATGCTCTTCTTATAAATATCAGCGGAATGTCCTAAGGAACTACTTTTGTATCTCATAAATTCAGTTGAATCCCTGCCACTTCGTTTATACGGTTGATTTGTGTATCTGTGCTTACTGGATCAAATTACGGACAACTGGGTATCAAAGGAACAAGAGAGTCGCTGTGAGTTGCGGTGTGGTTGCATATCTCTGCACTCTTTTCATACCGTCATCATTAAGTACATCTGTGAACAGCCATAAAGGATATATTCACGCTTCTTTAGTTGGGAGAGTATTAAGAGCAGACTGGACATCAAATTAGGTGAACCAGGCGTTAGGGGCTCACGGTATTGACGTTCACTGATGGTGCGATGTATACTAACGCAAGATATAATAGCCAAAACTTCTGTAATATTCGTTCCTCGCAGAAAAAAGGCAAAGAAAAACACCAAAATGCGATGTATATTTCGGGATCAAATCGTATTTCAATGTCCAATATCCTGATTACGAGCTACTATGAGCCACTGATTTCTTTGAGCTCGCTTCTTGATTGTAGGGTAGAGGTTCCAGATCTTCGGTGAACTTATGCGTAGTAAATCCCGCCACTCGACTGCTTTCGCTATGGTAGACTCCAAGAGGTGTGGTGCGAAGATTGGTCAAGATGTGGTTTGTAGTGTGCAGTATGTTAGGACTCAGTTGCTGCCGTGAATGGAGTTTGACCTAACACCCGTTGGTCATTCGGTGTAGTCATAAAATTAGAATAGTAATAATAATAATAGGTTGTAGTGTAGATAACATAAGTTGAGATAAGTGAAATAATAAAGGTGACCTAAGGAAAAGATAGAGTAGTCGGTACAGTGAGAGAAGACAGAACGGGACGAATGCTTAACTATCCAGGGATCGTGCACAAACGGACGTAGCATCATGGCATGCCAAATGGGGCGGATGCTACGCCTCTAAACTTCAGCTAAACAAGCTGACTTAAATAGTGAGGAGCAGCATCCAACGTTCAGTGATGTGTGCCGTGGCTAATAATTCTGGAGAATCATCTACCGCTACAAGGCAGAGGAGTCAGCAGGTGCTGTGGCCATTACCCATACCTAGCAAGATAGATGGCCACACAACTACCGTGAGCGTTATTTCTAGCTGAAGGCGATCGGAAAGCAGATTGAACTCTTTCAGGTAGCGTTACTAAATGGTTACCTAGATTCTTGTATAGTAATAATGATATATTATCATTTTTTGTACATGAGGGACGCCGATTTACAGGCGTCATCAATATGATAAATTACATATGCGATTAGTAGGCATATTTAATAATAATATAATGAAATACATATGTATTCCTGCCTATGTAGGACACACCAATTGTACGGGCATGGATAAGTATTATTTAGATTGCATAACTTTATGTGATGGTGGAGAAATTACATGGCTGTTGTCTTTTTGTGTTTATTTTGTGGGAATAATCTGCTAATTAGTCATTCAATGGAGCACATCAAGAAATATAGGAATATTGTCTTTGCATTAACAAAACGACCCAAGTATGTTTTGGGTGGATTACAGATACTTGGGGAGAAATGTAAAGCTTGGAGTCATTCCCCCATATAACTTTGCTGTGCATGGTATAGAATCTTATTCTTGATTTACATCCAAATTGGATGCTAATTTAAAATAAGCGATGTACTCGTGCAATCTTGTCAGCGTTTTTATCGTAACCAACACCAGAAGTGAATTGTGCTCAATTCAGACAAATAATATTAGTTTATATTTCCTTATGAACTGGTTTTTACAAGAAATGCAAACCATTTTTACAGACACGATCAGTCATGTTATAAATTACAATCGTGAAGTATTATAAATTAATACTGATCTAAAGGTGTATTCCACAACTCTCATCCAGGATGCGTCGTAGGGGAAGGTTATGGGCAATTCACGAGGCAGCTGTAGGATATGGGACCAATGATATTTGCAGATCATTTGTCATTGTGAGTGGCCAAATATATCCATTCTTTTTTCTCATTGAAAAAGTCATATAGAAGCTAAAATGGTAAGAGAAAAAAGAAGACAAAAGACAGACACACGAAAGAAAGCAAGTGGAGTCCTCAAGGAGTGATTAATAAATATATACACATATATTCTGTGTAGTAACTATGATTATTTCGGTACACTAACTAACTAGTCTTGCTATGCTAAACTTTGTATTATGTGAACTAATATTATTGTCCTGAGTAGAAATGTCTATCATGTACTTCCAATAATATTAAAATTTACAATTGTAGTTTGTTGCAGCTTATACGTTTAATGAACCTATAATACCTATGTAGGGTGAGAAAGAGAGTGTAGGAGCGCATTGTCATCTTTAAGCAGTTCAGTGGCTGAGGAGATGAAGACTGTCAGTGTGTTTGCATCACGCACAACAGCTGGCAGTCTACTGCAAATGGCTGAAAACATATTTAAGAAGACGTTGTGCCGCATGTAAATATGACAACGCTCTAAAGCAATTAGGTTGTCATGATTTCTGAGATTGTAGCTGATGACAGCGGTACATTTAGATATTAGCCTGCAGGAGTGCAAGCGAAGATTAATTAGCTTGTAGTGGAAATTAAAGTTTAACTTTAGACGTCTTTTCCAGAGTGATTCCTTTTTCATTCTGTCGCAACGCTCAGAGTATTCGAAACCACTTTCTAAACCAAGTATTCTTGAGGTAAATTGCCTTTGCACTCCCCCTAATTTAAGCTTGTCATTCTGTCGCAGTCCGCTAAGAATAAACGGGCAGTACTCTAAAGTATGTCGGAAACATACTTTATATAATAAAACTCTAGTTTCACAACAGAAGAAATTGCGAGTTATGCATCCTGGGAACCTTCATGTTTAACTCAAATGAACTGTCGTCAAGATTTGACCGAATAGTTCTAAAATATTTGGGCGCCGAGTGAGAAGTAGACATTTGTAAAAAATTATATTTGTAAAATCTCAGCGATATTGAAATAAGTAATTCCAACGTTTCGTTCGGCAATCTGGTCCGAACTTCTTCAGGGAAATTAATCAAAATTAACATAACAGAGGTTTTATATATAAAAGGCACATCTTTTTAAAAACTTTGTCCAATCATGATTCATAAACACAAGTATTAACAAGTATAATAAACAAAATTGTATGAGTTGTGATCAAAATTTGACCTCGGACTTACAAATATCGGTCTACCTTTGTTAAACACTTTAAACAGAGTGTGCATGCGTGTGTGTGTAAACAGTTATAAAAAATCTCTTAACGTCTCCATAGGAAGATATAGACAGTCAGGAATTTGACCAAGTATTATCGATTAGTGATCCATATCCATTTTTATTTATTAATCAGGATTTCCTATGCATCAGCTAACATCAAACCTTCATGTCCGTTCAAACTGCTAGTATCTAGAATTTTATGATTAGACGTATTTTCAAAATTATGGTGTTTAGGATTAGAGTTTAGTTTAAGCACCCTGTCGAACTTATTGCATTGTCTTCTTTCTGAATATTGAGCTGCTTTATTCGACCTACTGGAATTGTCAGGTGACTCGACAGCTACGGATTTAGGATGTGCATTTTGTTCCAGACAACGGAGACTGAAAACACGATGATTGTGCCAATTACATAGTTTCTTTGTTAATTTAATTCGATAGCAAAATAATTCAAATGAACTGTCGTCAAGATTTGACAGAATAGTTCTAAAATATTTGGGCGCCGAGTGAGAAGTAGACATTTGTAAAAAATTATATTTGTAATATCTCAGCGATATTGGCTATTTGTACCCTGTTGCTCAGAAACGATTTTAACCAGTTCAGTATTGGATTGCGAATTCCACATGAGTACAGCTTCTCAAAGGGAATACTGTGAGATACTATGTCAAATGCCCTAGATATATCGAAGTATAGCCAGCTTACGTGCTTCGCGACTACTAGTGATGCAGCTGAAAAAGTCGAAATGGCAAATAACGCAGGACCTATTTTTGAGAAATCCGTGTTGAGACCTTGTAACA